AGCCGGAATATGCCGTCCATCAAGCAGCAATTGGGCTAGCCCCTTACATATGGTAAAAAAACCAGACGGTAGTTGGAGACCTTGCGGAGATTACCGTCGCTTAAATGCAATCACCATCCCAGATCGTTACCCAGTTCCTCACATACATGATTTTGCACACATGTTATACATATAACCAAAAAGTTTTTTCAACCATCGACCTGATTAAGGCATATCACCAGATACCAGTTGAACCGGGGGATATTCCAAAAACGGCGATCATAACTCCATTTGGATTATTTGAATTTACTAACATGACATTCGGACTTTGCAATGCAGGTCAAACATTTCAACGCTTCATTCACGAAGCATTACGAGATCTCGAATTCGCCTTTGCCTATATTGACGACGTCATTATTGCATCAGCAAACGAGGAAGAGCACAGGCAACACTTGCAACAAGTATTCGAACGATTCAGAAAACATGGTTTAATAATAAACGTATCAAAATGCGTTTTTGCTCAAAACACAGTAAAATTTCTTGGTTATCTCATCAGTGAAAAGGGCATTCAACCTCTACCAGATCGAGTGAAGAGCATCAGCGAGTACTCGCTTCCAACAAAAACAAAAGAATTAAGAAGATTTCTAGCATTACTTAACTTTTATCGCAGGTTCGTACCAAACGCTGTAGATTCTCAAACTGCACTTCAACAAATGATAAAAGGAAACAGGAAGAACGACAACACACCGTTATGCTGGACCGAAGTGAACAAAACAATCTTCCAAAAATGTAAAGATGAACTAACAAACTCGACACTACTTGTTCATCCGTCAAAAACTGCTACGCTTGCATTACAAGTAGACGCCTCGGATAAAGCTCTCGGCGCAGTTCTTCATCAAGTGACAGACAGCACGTTCCAACCACTCGGTTTTTTCTCTAAACGATTAACAGATACACAAAAACGATACAGCACATACGATCGTGAGTTGTTAGCCGCATATCAGGGCATAAAACATTTTCGACATATGTTAGAAGGTCGTGAATTCGTATTAATAACTGACCACAAGCCAATCACGTTCGCATTCCAGCAAAAGTCCGACAAGGCTTCACCACGTCAAGTCCGTCAGCTTGATTATATAGGTCAATTTACAACGAATATCGTTCATGTCAGCGGAAAAGACAACATCCCAGCAGATTTTCTCTCGCGGATAGATAGTATTAGCATCCCAAAAATCGACTACGATTGTATAATTGGATTACAACGATGTTGCCCACAACTACAAGATATCAAAAACAACAATTCCATCGAAATCAAACTTTTATCTTTACCAACAATATCGGATAAAATTTATTGCGAAGTTTCAACTGGGCGAATTCGTCCTTACATTCCGGAGAAATACCGGCTACATATCTTTAAAGCTACGCATGGGTTGTCTCATCCCAGCATTCGGGGCACAACAAAAATGATAGCTGAAAAATTTTTCTGGCCTTCTATAAATGCTGATATCAGAAACTGGACCCGACAATGTATCCCATGCCAACGTTCTAAAGTGCAACGTCACAACCGTTCACCTATTTGTCAATATGAACTCGCTGAACACAGATTTGAACATATAAACATAGACATCGTCGGCCCGCTACCACCATCAAACAACTGCACATATATATTAACCATCATCGACCGTTTCAGCCGATGGCCAGAAGCAATTCCGATCCCAGATCAAACAACGGAAACCATCGCAAACGCACTGATTACTCAATGGATCGCACGTTTTGGCGTACCCTTACGTATCACAACAGACCAAGGAAGACAATTTGAATCTTCATTGTTCAACCAACTAGCTGAAGTTATCGGTTGCAAACACTTACGAACTACGAGTTACCATCCTCAAAGTAACGGAATGGTGGAACGATTTCACCGCACATTAAAAGCAGCCTTAATGTGCCACCAAACAACTTCTTGGACAGAAGTTTTACCAATAGTATTGTTAGGTCTACGCACGACTTTTAAACCAGACATTGGAGCTTCTGCTGCTGAAATGCTATATGGCCAAACTCTACGTTTACCGGGCGAAATAGTAAGCAACCCTAGCCACAGAAATATAAATCAACACGATTTCATAACCAAGCTAAGAGAACAAATGCAGAGCGTCAAGGCAACGTTGGTATCGCATCATATAGACCGAGGCTACCACATCCAACCGGATCTAAGCTCAGCCACGCATGTATTTATACGAAATGACAAGGTAAAACCACCATTGACGCAACCTTACGATGGTCCTTACCAAATACTAGAGCGAAATGACAAGACGTTTAGAATACTGATCGAAAACAAAGAACAAACAGTTAGCATAGATCGTCTTAAAGCTGCTTTCATATGTCCCGATACAGACATTGACATCCACAACAAATCAATGGTATACCACATTCCAAACAACGTTAATGGCGACCAGTCTGTGCGACCAAATACAACAGCTAACCTGACAAAATCAGGACGCAACGTTCGCTTTCCAACCAAATTCAGTGACTCCATCACTTAGGGGGGAGTACTGTGGCAGCACCAAAAAATATAAATAAAAGAACTGTCAACAAGGCACAAAGGAGACAACAATAGCCGCAGTTCCCGACAGTAGTAGTTTGGAAAAAGACAAAGCAGCACGTGAATAAAACGTAAAAACACAAATCTTAACTTTAAGAATATTTTATAATAACTAAGTATAAGAAATAAATAAACTTATCCATTACCAATACGGAGTGTTAAATTAACTTATCCATTACCAATACGGAGTGTTAAATTCGAAATAAAACCCAACATAACAAACCACTACAATTATATACTTTTTCACGCATTTTTCATAACAAAACCACTATGCAACTGTCTCCAACTACTTGCACATGTAGCTGCCAGGTTAAATCTTAAACCAATTGTCATCAAAATTCATTTTAAAGCTTATAATAGAGTTTTCCTTTTCTATTGTGTTCTTTGGTCAACATATCTGTGTTGATAGCTTGAGTTGGTATCCAAGTTATACATTCTTTAATTCTGAGTAGTCCTTTGATAGGAGTGGTCGGCGTTTGTAATTGATATATGGTGAGAGTACATATTGTTTCATTGCAAGTTTTTTTTTGTAAGTTGTAATAAGTTAATTTTATTTTCCAATTTGGAAATGTAAAAGGGGGGAACAACAAGAGGTGCATATATTATAATTAATATGCAAAGTAATATAGTCTGAAAACAAATATGTAAGTACATACATAAATTAGTTCTTCAGCAGTTCACTGATTTCGACGTTAACAATTTTTTCCATTCTACTAAGCATATCTGCACATTCAGTGGAATTGCATTTTCTGCAGCATAAGGGGAATTAAACGACATTTTGTTTTACGTTTCTAACAAGAGTTTGCATATTTTGATTGAATTGAATTGGTAATTCTACCGGTATAGGCCTTTAACTGATGATTCAACTGTGATTCATACTATTTTGTAGAAGTATTTTGTCTGAGCTAATGCAAATAGCAAAATTAAACCAGATAACCTAAATTTAAATGTATTTTCTTAATATTTATTTGTGTTATATTATAATCCCGTTTCAATATTCATTTAAGTAAATGCTGTTTATTTGTAGTCCTTTGGGGAAAAAGTATAAAATATATATACAGAAACAATGGCATCTCCTGCACTAAAAGATCTTCCTAAAGTAGCTGAAAATCTAAAAAGTCAACTCGAGGGTTTTAACACGGAAAAATTAAAAAATGCAAGTACTCAGGAAAAAATTATATTGCCTTCGGCTCAAGGTAAGAAAACTAAATATTGAATAATGAAGAAAGTTTGATAAAAATGAATATGATTAGATGTCGCCGCAGAAAAAACCCAACAATCCTTGTGTGCTGGTATTGCATCCTTTAATCAGTCTAAATTGAAACACACTGAAACCAATGAAAAAAATCCGTTGCCAAATAGTGAAGGTAAAACTACTACTGAAGTATTTGCAAATGCGGTGTATCTATCTTTATATATATGTGATCTGCATTTGTAATTGATTATTAAACATATATAATATAAATTTTGTGTTGTGTATATAAATTGTATTTTTTCCAGTTATTGCACAAGAAAAGGAGAAGATTAATTTCATAACTGGAATTGAAAATTTTGATCCATCTAAATTGAAACATACTGAAACGTGTGAGAAAAATCAATTACCAAGTAAGGAAGCAATTGAAGAAGAAAAGAAAGCATAAAGGCGTTTTTCTTTTCGAAGTGAAATTGCGTGTGCTCATTCCTAATATATTATAAATCCATAAAAGGATGAATATTTGTAAAACGCATAAATTTTTTCATTTTTATACTTAATAAAATCGCAAATAACTAAGTGCTTGTTTTTTTTTGTAGTTGCTAAGTATATTTATGTATTATATATATAATGTAGTGGTTAATGTCTTATATAAACTTTAAAAATATTTACTCCAGAAAAGCGAAAGTACTGCGTATACGAGGAAATTATTAAATTCTTGTAAATGGCAGTTTTACTAGTTTGTGCTATGATATCAAAATTGAACTGTTTTGTTTCCAAGATATGCAGTGTGTCACAAACTCAATAATGTCTCAAGTGATATCCCATAATTAACGCCACTATTCTCGCTAGTCAAAATGAGCATCCATTCAAGATTGCCTTTTGGTGGTTGCAACATCTAAGCGGTGAGTCGAAAAGGTTGAAATTGTGGGTTCTGTTACTATATAGAGAAAGTGGAAAAGTTGCCACGGCCTTAGATTTATATAATTATTTTATAAAATAATTAAAAAACCTTATATAGTTATACTGGAATTTAATTTATGATGTGTACGAGTTGTTGTACCCCCCGTCTGGACCTGCTTGTGGAGTCCCTTTGGAAGGTGGTACTTGGTCATCGTAGGTGACGAGTGGCTCCGGAACGTAGACCCGACCGTTCTTGCAACCATGTGTAGAAGTCAAAACATTCGCTTAATGTAAGATTCCGTATAAAAACAAAAATGCACATACATATTCTAGTTTGGTTAGATTTATTTATTTTTAGAAGTTATAAAATGAAACAAGGTAATTAAAGATTTTGAAATTAGGTACTAAAGGGTTTTGGAATAGGATGAACATTTATGTTCATATATACATCGATTTATTATAAATAAAGATTTTAGACATTATGCGCTTGCAAATATGTAATGACACATTTCACTGCTCATCTTTATCTTTCGCACCATGCTTCAGAATACGTGTAAATTCTATATAATCAAATAAACCGTTTTTAATTGGTGCTTCTCGATACATCTCATCAACCTATAACAAAACAATAATTATTCTGAAAAATAAATGGGTTAATAAAAAAAATTACATCTTCATCCGAAAAGCGATCACCCATAGTGGTAAGTAGTTCACGTAATTTATCCTCTGGCAAGACACCCATGTTATCTTCATCAAAACATCCAAAAGCATTTTTGATAACATCTTCAGGATCTGTACCTTGCAACCGTTCTCCAAATAATGTTAAAAACATTGTAAAATTGATTGGACCAGGAGCTTCCTTCATCATTGCTTCCAAGTAATCATCGGTAGGATTTTTTCCTAATGAGGCTAGCATGTCGTGTAAGTCTTCTTTTTCAACAAACCCATCTCTATTTTGATCAATCATATTAAAAGCTTCTTTGAACTCAGCGATCTGAGCTTGATCAAACATTGCGAAGACATTCGAAGTCGCTCTTTGAGCTCGCTTCTTTGTGGTAGCCCGTCTCCCAGCAGTTTTCCGTGACGACATTTTCTTTAATATAAATTTAAAAATATTATGTATGAAATAAATTTCATTAGAATTAAAATTCTTATTCTACTTATTTAAATCGTACTGTAAACTGTAGAACACTCGGAAAATCAATGTTAAATACTAAACTAAAATGATATATTGTATCTGTGCTTTAAGTAATGTACATTAAAAAACTTGAGTTCAATACAATCTATTAACTCCATATATGGACATATTTTCACAATTTTAATAAAGTTACAAGATACACATATATTTGCAGTAATACACTTTTTTATGAATCTCTGGTGAGTCATTACTATGTACACCAATTTTAGTAAGCAGAAATTTTCAATGTTAATACTCACATGATAGAAGACAAAGGAAATAATTAAAAAAAAACTTCAATATATTGAAAAAAAAAACTTCAATGTATCTAAAAAAAACAAAAACCAAGCGTTGCTAAAAATTACCGACCACAACCACTCCTTAATTTGAATTGTAGTACTTTGACACTGTTTTTATGCCAGGTATAACTCTCATTATCGATATTTAATATATATTCCAAACACTCAAAAGCAGCTCATACACGAATCACGCACTTCGATAAAAAAAGTTACTCTCAATAACAATGCATTTCAGTCTTTGTTCAGTCAATAGAAGTTTTACAGCAAGTTTCTGTTATTCTATGTTTACAGTGAGACCAAATCTTATTTTGCACAAGTGATATTACAAAATCATAAAGTATATAAAGTGACATTAATGATCTAATAGAACAACCTCTAGTTATTCTAAAGTATATAAAGTGACATGAATGATCTAATAGAACAACTTCTAGTTGCTTAAGAATAACTTAGCATCACTGCCTAAATCAGTAAACAAATCACAATTAAAAAAAATTTAAATAAATTTGTGGTTGAAAAATACCTTCAAATACAAAAATACCTGCAGATTATTTTATAAAAAACTTTTTTATATAAAATGAATGACACAAAAAGTTATTGGTGAGTGGAAAATACAATAGTTTTTGTAAATATTTTATGTTAAATTTATGAAAAATAAAAAATACAATAATTTTTGTATTTATTTTAAGTTAAATTTATACTTAATTTAAAAAATATAATTTAAAAAATCCCTAAGAACATGTGATTTTAAGACTCAAACACGCGTGCTGTTCATGCGGGAATTGCAATGCAAGAGAGCTCAATCGAGAAGCCAGTTCAATAGGTGAGCTAAAAAACTGTATAAAAAGTAACGTTCTTTTTATATTTTAAGAGTACCGTATGTAATGTACAAGGTTGACGAAAGTCAACATTGGGTTGCAAATGAACAATTGTAATGTATATGCGTTAGTTATGTTGGCAATGCATACAATTAATATAATAATAAGTGGTTCTATATTTAAATGCGCAGTGTATATAAAAATACACTAATTGTTTCCAAGCGCATTGCATTGTTTACAAACAAATGCACAATTCCACACAAGGAATTTGACACCACACATATCGGCGGCACTTTGCCTTCGATATAACCATATGCTTGCCAGGCATTGACCGCATATACAACAACATCAACAGTAAGCGTACTCGATACAAGTGGATTCGAAGACGCTTACTTAGCAATAAATTATTAAATAGTAAAGTACTTACGCTGCGCCGTTTTGTTCATAAATAAAAATACATATATAATTATAAAATATTTAGTAAATAAGAAAGTACATACGCTGCGTCGTTATGTACCTAGGTTAAGTCGAAAGTAAAGAACTAAATAAAAATCAGAATTAGAAATGCCCTCATAAGAAGCGCACCAAGTTCTCCAACAATAAAATCGTTGCTTTTATTTTATTTTAAAATAGCAATCTTTAATGAAATGAGAAACGCCAATAAATATCGGCGATCTTAACAATCAGTATTTTTCAACTATTACATTGCGACCGTGACTTTGGTGCAGGACTAATGTGATTATTTTTTTAAAAAAAAATATATATATAAAACACAACTATTCCGGCAGTACCAAAACCCAGAAAGAGGGGTGGCGTACTAATGCAAGAACGAAAAAAAATAGCAGCTCTGAAGGCCTCATTATATACAGAACCACCACTATCGTGGGAGATTGCATGTACAATATGGAAACAAATTGACGACATTGTACAAGCCAGGCACAACAGACAGTTACAAAAGCGAAGAGCCGTACAGGAGAAATAAGTATAATATTTTTATTAATTTCTAAATAATTGTAATGGAGCTTGTGTGTGCTCTAACATAATAAAGAGCAAATCCAATAGAGGCACAAAATGGCGTTAAGCCGTTGCCAAAACCCTTATGTAGGGATAATGTAAAATATATATAATTGTTTTAATTTGATTGCTTTAATTGAAAAAAAAATAAATAAAACATTAAATGTTTTAAATTAAAATTATGATAAATGATAAATATTACATATTTTGAAATGAATGTTTTCGATGTTTTTAAATATTTTGAAAATTTTTTTGTTTAATCTCTACGGTATATCTTTGATTTTTCTTGTTATTTAATCCTTTTATTCCTAGGTGGAACAGAGGGCCGTAACAAATAGTTTCCATTGAACTCTATCTAATGCAAGACGTTTTGTTTCACTCCAGCTCTTTCCAGCATTTCTTAATTCGGCTTCAGTTTGTCGTTTCCAAGTGTTGCGCGGACGCCCTGGTCTTCTACTGCCTTGAGGGTTGAAATCTAAGACATTTCTTGCGATATCATCAGCGGGTTTTCTTAACGTGTGGCCAAGCCATTTGTATTTGCGCATCATTATTTCATCAGTTATAAGAGGCTGATTCGTTCTAAACCAGAGCTCATTATTGGTTATGGTTGCTGGCCAAAATACATGAAGGATGCGTCGTAGACAACGATTGGCAAAGGCTTGTAGCTGTTGTGCGTCTCTTGCCGTTAGGTTCCAACTCTCACTACCATATAGTAAAGTTGATTTTACGTTTGCATTGTACAGGTGTATCTTAGTGCGTTGTGTGATGTTGGATGAACGCCAGATTTTGTTAAGGGTTCCAAACGCTTGTTTCGCTTTCGATAGCCTGTACTGTATGTCTTGCCGACTGCCGCCGTTGTTCGAAATGTAGCTTCCCAGATAGCAGAAACTTTGTACATCTTCGATGTAGGAGCCATCTAGTTGAAACTTCGTTAAGCAGTTTGAATTGAGACGCATAGACTTGGTTTTGTTGATATTGATTGACAGGCCAGCTGCCAATGCACGCTTTGCGATGTTGTTTAACGATATTTGCATCTGGGAAAAGTTATGCGTTAGTAAACAGATGTCATCAGCGTAATCGAGGTCAGTAAGTTTGTTATGAAGGCCGAATGATATGCCATGATTTGTGCTCATAGCTTCCGACATAACCACATCTAAGACTATATTAAATAGTATAGGTGAAAGAATGCAACCTTGTCGGACGCCAGACTTAATTTGGATTTGCCCGCTGAGACGCCCTTCGTGATTTTTCTTGTAGTTTAAAAAAAAAAAATAATAATTTTTCCTCTACTGTTTCTTACTTTCTCTACTGTTTCTTATTTTTATGATGGGGAGCCCACAATCAAAAATAAATAAACCTTTAGCTAATGTAGTTAACGAAATAGAAGTTGATAGAAGAGAACCTTACGACCCAACAAAATTTTTCGTAATAATAATTATTTTGCTTAGTGCAAATTTAGCTCTTAAACTGTATAAGGCTCATCGTAGATCCCTTAAGAAAAATTTTGTAAAAACTGCAAATATCGCTACTGTATTAGAAAAAATATAAATAATTAGATAGGCAGCACGTAAATCAACATTTCTCAAAATATTCTAAAATTACTTAGATTCGTCAAAATGAAAACTTTTAACTGTTTTGTATGTGGCAAAAGCTGCAAAACTAAACAGAAATTAGACAATCATTTAAAGAAACATAATAAAATAATTAACTATGCGAATGAAATAGTTAGAAAAATTTTTCATTAAATCAATCAACAAAATTCTTTAACTCTTATGGATAAATGGTCTCCAATAGAAGAATTTCTAAGAACAGAAAAAGAAAATTTCAACAAGGCATACAAGTGTATAAACAAAAATACGTTTATCAGAAACTCTGAGAAAACACTTATTGACCTTAGTTAATAGTTTAGAGAATATCAGAACTATATATATTAACTATAGCCATAGATTAACAGAAAGCCATAAAAGAATTGTTAACTCTGTATTTTGGGAAAGCAGAAACAGGTTAATAAACATTTATTCTAAATATAAAATAGAGGAAAAAATTCCACATAACTTAGATAAACCAATACAGCTCGATGTACATAGACTGTTTGTCACAGAAGATAGTGACATATTAATACCAATTGAAGAAGCAAATAGCGAAATTGAAAATTCATCAGAAATAGAAAAATACCACGTTACAAATATGGCACAATCAGCTGACCAATTTATTAGTACAGCGTCACGACTCATTCCTGAGTATGACGGAACTGCATCCAATCTACAAAGTTTCCTTGACGGTATTGAAATGGTCGATTAATTAAAAGGAGAACATGAAAGATTGGCAGTTACTTTAATAAAAACTAAATTAAAAGGTACAGCTAGGCAAATAATAACCACCGAAAACTCGATATTAGCCATAATAAATACTTTAAAAACAAATATCAAAGGAGAATCGGTTGCAGTCTTAACTGCTAAATTAATGAATCTCCAACAGAAGAACAAAACTGCCAACCAATACACTAAAGACGTTGAGCAATTAACTAAAGCAATTCAAGGTGCTTACATTTCGGATGGGATACCACCAAAAATAGCTATACAATATTCAACTAAGGCATCTGTAGATGCAATGGTTAAAAATTGTACACTTCCTGAAGTCAGACTAATTATGAAGTCAGGCCAATTCAATAATTTGAACGATGCGGTACAAAAATTTGTAGAAAGCTGCACGGATGCTACTGGCCGGACAGACACTGTTCTATTTACACAGCGTCAAAATATAAATAATTATCGCGAAAACAATCGCGTGAATGGAAATTTTAGAGGTAGAGGATACTACCGAAATAATAACTACAATAGGCAGAGACAAAACAATAACTATAACCAATATGAAAATCAACGAGGACGCGGAAATAACCGTAGGATCCAACATAATGTTAGAATAACTAGTAATAATAATAATACTAACCAAAACAATATTGGTTCGGAAAACCTGAACCAGCCTCTGAGAGATTAAAACATAACACAATATATAGCTTAAACCTTAACCTGGGCATGTTTGTTAATTTTTTTAATAATGCCACTAATAAATTACTAACCCTATTAGTAGATACAGGAGCAGACGTGTCTCTACTAAAAATCGCAAATGTAGATAAATATGAAGTAAATAAATTTGAGGTAACTACCCTCAGCGGAATAGGCCAAGGTTCGATCAAATCATTGGGTCTTACACAATTAGATCTTAGAATTGAAAATATTCTAGTAACACATAAATCTTATGCAGTACAAGATGATTTTCCTATACCATGCGATGGAATCATCGGCATGGACTTTCTAAGAGAATTTAATTGTAAACTCGATTTCATGCAAAATAAAGAATGGCTCGTTTTACGACCAA